CAGTGTTTTTTTGCCAGTGGGCACAAACAATGCCTGCGCGCACCACGTTCCCTGCGTGCACACACGCGACATGCTCTGCGGCGCGCGATGCCTGAATGCACCACAGTGCGTGTCTGCGCCGCAGCGCGTGTCTCAATCCCAACGCACGCGTGCTTTGTGGTGCATCCGAACGCTGCACTCCGCAACGCCTGAGAGAACCATCAGAGCCTGCAGCAACGCGCAACGGTGAGCGAGACCCCCCCCTCCGCACTCCCCCAGCAGAGGAAGAGGGGGGAGGGGTGTTCTGTCTCACCTGTCTATTCCTGACCATGCGCTGCTACGAGGCAAACGTGCTATTAGCCTCTGTTGCCCCAACTCCTCGTCATCGCGTCTACCATCACCTCATCCTCCTGCGCGACTGTCTCATGCAGGGTGCATCGGAAGCCGTGAACTGCATCGGTCGCAAGATAGAACGTCGTTCAATGCACATTGGCACGCGGTGCGCCACACGCAGTGCACAACACTGCTGGCAGGAGCAGCCGTGGTCGTAATAGGAGTACTCGTAAACACGCCGCAACAAAAAACATAACAGAAACAACACTGCGGAATGGGCAGTGAGGCGACGTGTAACGCCCGCGTGGCACTGCGCAGTGTACTGTGCGCATAGGCACTGAGGTGCATACGCGCACTGTGGTGGGCACACAGGCATCGTGGTGCACACAACCACGGTGCTGCGCACAAGCACGGCGCTGCATGCGCAAATATTCGGTTGTGGCACATGCAAACACGGCTGAGGGCACGCAGGCATGGTTGGTGCACACAGTCATGCTGGTGCTTCGCGGTGAACACAGGCACTGTGGTGCGCAGGGTCGATTCGTGAATGCGTGCACGCAGATGTGCTACAGCAGTCAAGAATGACAAACACCCAAACTGTTGCGAACCCGCCACCTAACGAGTCCGTGTTGTAAAAACACCCCAAAAAATGTGTAAGGCCGCCGCAAACCAATATACAATGTGTAACGGCGCCACACATACAGAATCAGGTTGCAAGGCCGACAAAAAAACAAAAAAGAGTGGTGCACGGAAGCGGTCAGCTCGCTGCGCTGCGTAGGTGTGCCGCGGTTGCTTCATACAGGCACACCAATTGCGCACTTGAAAACTCAGCTTGCGCTGCCTCAGCACCGCTGCGTTGCCGCCTTGTTACAAAAAGCGGCCTTAACAATAGCCCCCAAACGTTGGCATCAGCTGTTGCATTGCTGCATTACTGCGTCCGACTGCCAACAACGCAAAGTGGATTCCGACTGCTGATCCCGTGACAAGATTGGGAGCACCACTTGCGTTTGGTGTAAACCAGATGCTGTCCTATACCGTAACGATTGCACTCACACTGTCAAAGAAGTTTGCAAGTGAAGACATAATATCAAAAGGGGTAGGCCACAGGAGGTGGGAGAGCTTGTCATACAGATATACATACCTGTATACATATGCATATGTATACGCACGTGCAAATACATGTGTACAAATGTGTATGACATATAAAATGTGTACATATGTATACAAACATGTTTATCAAATTCCGTTTCTTACTTATACGACCACCCTTCGTGTGATAAGGAGGTTGTGGGGGGGAAGAAGGGGGGGAACCAACATCTGACTCAATCGATCTCACTATCGATCTCACTCAACGGGACACCACCGCACTGGACACCACGAGACACCACGGGACACCGCGGGACACTTATCGATCTCACTATCGGTCTCACTATCGATCACGGGACACCACGGGCAACCACGGGACACCACGGAACACCGCGGGACACCTCTCGATCTCACTATCGGTCTCACTATCGATCTCACTATCGATCTCACTCAGCGGGACACCATAGGACACCACGGACGGGAAACCTGGGGACACCACATCGATCTCAGTATCGATCTCACTATCGATCTCACTATCGATCTCACTATCGATCTCACTCAACGGGACACCACGGGACACCACGGGACACCTGTCGATCTCACTATCGATCTCACTATCGATCTCACTCAGCGGGACACCGCGGGACACCACGGGACACCTCGGGGCACCACATCGATCTCAGTATCGATCTCACTATCGATCTGACTCAACGGGACACCACCATTGGACACCTGCGGATCTTACTATCGATCTCACTATCGATCTCACTCAACGTGACACCACGGGACACCGCGGGACACCAAGGGGACACCAGCGGGACACCGCGGGCCACCGGCCGCCAGAGGAGAAACATTTGGTCCGGCCGCGGCCCAGCCACAGGAGGATTTCGGGACACCCGCGGGACACCGGCGGGACACCACGCGGCACCGGCCGACGGAGGAGTTACATTGGGTCCGGCCGCGGCCCAGCCACAGGAGGATTTCTCTCGCCCGCCCTCGCAGCCTCGCCTCCCCCGCACGCACGCACGGCACGCACGACACGATCATCAGCATCATCATTACCAGCAGCATCATCATTACCAGCAGCATCATCATCATGATCATCATCATCATCATCATCATCATCATCATCATCATCATCATCATCATCATCATCATCATCATCTACATCATCATCAGCATCATCATCATCATCATCATCATCATCATCATCGTAATCAGTATCATCATCGTAATTAGCATCATCATCAAAAGCAGCATCATCATCATCACCCCCACCAACATCATCATCATCATCATAAGCAGCGGCAACATCATCATCGTCATCAGTACCAGCATCATCATCAGCATCATCAGTATCATCAGCATCGTCATCGTCATCATCAACTGCAACATCATCAGCATCATCATTATCAACATCATCATCATCGTCATCATCATCATCCTACGGCCCCTCACGTGTTCCGTTTCATCCTCCCCGCCTGAGCTCATCCCTCACCATCATCCTCCTCCTCCTCCTCCCTCTCCTCCGTAGCCAGTTTGGGCTCAAGCCCGCTTTGGGCGCCGGGCGGGCGCAGCGTTTTGGGGTCCTTGGGTCTCACCTCCTCGGGGGGAAGCGGCACTGCCCTCGACGCACGCCGCCATACCCCAGGCTGTGGCTGCGCAGGGCTGAAGCTAAACGGTGTTGTTCGTTTTCGTTTTGTTTTCCTTTTCCCTCATTTTGTCTTCGACCCGCCTTGATCGCAAAACGAAGTCGAAACGAAAACAGCCCACGAAATCGCCAAGACACAGTTTAGGTCCAGCCCTGTGGCTGCGGTCTGGCCCCTGCGAGGGCACGAGCGCGCGCTGCTGACGGCCGTTGGCGCGCTCGCGCCGTTTGCGGCGGCCGGCGCGGCTGCTGCTGCTGCTGGAGGCCACCAGGGCGTGGCGGCTGTGGCTGCGGCAGCACCGCACCGGCGCCGAGGCGCTCTCTCCGACGCTGCGCAGGCCGACGAGGAGGTCGGAGAGGAGGTCGTCGTCGTTGAGGAGGGAGGAGCTCGCGCGGCCCCACCTCCGCCGGCAGGCGGAGGCTGGCCGTCACGGTGAGATGGCGCGACCTTCTGGTGCGTGTGAGCGTTCTTGTATTCGGCGCTTCGACACTGGGCGGAGAGGGGGGGGGCGAGGGGAGGGGGGTCTGGCTCTGGGCCTCTGCTCAGTGCGACTTTCTGCAACAGTGCGTCCGATGGGGGAGGCCCCCCACCCGCTCGAAACAGGCGCCAAGAACAGCCAGGATCTACTCCATGGGGGGGGGGGGGTGCGAGGGCCAGCGCCGACCGGCAACACGATGAATAAGAAGACGATCGCCATGCCGAGCCCTCTGCAAGTGTGCTCGGCACGTCGACCTCGGCTGCAGCGTAGAGAAGTTGCCGACCACGGGGGCGGAGGCCAAGCGCAGGGTGCGTGGCCCGCGGCGGTGCCGAGGCCAGGGCGGCGACGGCGGCTCGAGCGACCCCTGGAGGAGGAGGAGGAGGAGGAGGAGGAGGAGGAGGAGGAGGAGGAGGAGGAGGAGGAGGAGGAGGAGGAGGGAGGAGGCGGAGCAGGAGTCAAAACTGCAGGAGCTGGAGGCGACGGTGGGCACCCTTGCAGGCTGCCACCCGGAGCGTCGGCGGCGTGACGCGGCCGCTGGCGGAGCCCGTCGCTCCGACCGTCGAGGCCGAGAAGATCGGCGAGGGCGAGGGCCAAAACGAGCACCTCCGGCAGGTGAGCTACGCGGAGTGCGAGCCCGAGCAGCTGAAGGAGCCAGGCAGCGAGCAGGGCGCCGCCGCAGCCGTGATGGTGGCGGCGAAGAGGGCCCTCGACCCTCAGACACCTATTGGCGGAGGCGAAGCAGGCCCATGAAAAGGCTTTGGTGCAGGACCTCGTTTTCGACCCCACGGTCGACGATTTTGACGAGTGGAAGTCCGAGCAGCTGAAGTAAGACTCGTGCACGGAGCTCTTCTGCAAGTGTGATGAAGCGGTGCCCCCGGCCGCGGTCACCCCTCATGCTCTGCTCGACCTGAGGCCGCGCTGGTCGAACGGGCGCTCTGGTGGCGGAGGTGGTCTATGCGCCACTCTGCGGCCTGTTCCTTTCCTCTCGAGACTCCCCTGTCGCTTTGCACTTAGCCCATTTACTCCTCCTCCCCCTCCTCATCTGCCCCCTCGTAATCCTCTTCATCGTCATCATCACCACCATCACCACCAACATAATCATAGTCATCATCATGGGTCTCGGGGCGCTCCGATCAGATGGCCACCGTCGTATCCACCACCTCTACCACCGTCCATCCTTACCACGTTTCGCCAACCCTGGCTCTACCGTGCCGTTCGCGCGCCTGGTGCCTCCAACGAACTCGACACCAGAACTAGCATGACGGAGCAGTGCTCAAAAACTGCAAGCTGCGAGCAGTTCCCAAGCGCCTCTTCCCGCCCGCTCGCTGAACATCGTCCGTGCCCTACGGCTCGCTCCTCGCCCCCCGACTCCGACCCCCCCTGTCACCCGAAGACCGCGCCCCCTGGAACTCGCCAGGGTCCCGGCGCCCCTCCCCAGACAGAGCGCGACGAGGCAGCACAGAAAGGGCAAGGGCCTCGCACGACGGGCCGCGCTCGCGCAAGCTCCTCGCGGACGCCGGGGTCCCCCGACACCTGGGAGGGCGCGCGGGAGGGAGGGGCCAGCACGGCCCCACGGCCTCCTGAAGCGCGAGCACGCACACACGCACGCACGCACGCACGCACACACACGCACACACACACACACACACGCACACACACAGACACACATACACACACACACACACACACACACACACACACACACACACACACACACGCACACACACACACACATACACACACACACACACACACGCGCACACACACACACACACACACACACGTACACGCACACACGTACACATAGATGTGATGAGAGAAGTTCGAGCTCTCGACATCACCCTTGAGCTTCTGGGTACATCCAGGGGCCTCGTGTCACGGTCGGTCGGGGCAGGTTTCCCGCGAAGCGGGTCGAATGTCCAAACCAACGCGTTCGAGACTTAGGGACCTTTTTCCACTCGAGCAGCTCAAGACGACCTGAAGCCAATCAGTCCAGGGGGCCGAAACGTTTCTGCGCCTGCTGCGCAGGCTTGAGCAAAACCCTAAGCCTCCTGAAATGTGGTGTGATACGGAAAAGCTGCTGTGGCGCGTGCGCAACGTGAGAAGAGACCAGCACATGAAAGCAACGACTGCATCGCACATACGTATATGTGTATGGCTCTGCTGGACACCCCGAGCTAACTGGAGAGAAAGAAAGCAAAATCTAGATTGATAAAGGCTGAACTGTACTAAAGCATGGCCAGAAAGTTGACACACACACACACACACAACCCGACTAAAGAATGGGGGTGGGAAGTAGACAATTGGTGAAGACACTCAGACTGCTCTTGGCTATCACATGTCTGCATCAGATGGAGCCTCCAGCATTGGGGGAAAATGGTAGTGGCCAGGCCACGCACATATTCCAACGATAATTGGTTGCGCTAGCGTCGCAACCCATACCCATTTCTCACGAAGGATAACCACCATCACCCTTGGTCGGCTCGTCACAGATGACGTTCGAGCTCCCCCGAGTAGTGAGAATACGGCATAGAAGCAATCGCCCGTATCTGGCAACGCACAAGTCGTGAAAACTCTGAGTGCCAAGAAGGGCACAATGGTAACCACACCACGGATACAGAACGCAAGAAGCTCCTCAGTCGACACCCTGGCAAATCCAATGCACAAGCATACCTGGTAGGCCGCCCAGCAGAAAATAAACACGGGCACCAGCACGCATAAGATCTGGAACGCGGGCCAGAACACATCCTTCCAGTCGCTCAGTACAAACACAGGCGACGAGCCCGATGCACCAGCGGAGGGAGGGCCTCATTGAAGGATGACGGTCTGCAGGTCGTTGTCGGCCCACGAACCGTCGGTGAGGCGGCGTGCATATGGTTTCTGTCCGATCTTGTTGAAGCTGGAGACACTTGAGCCCTCAGCGGGCGGCATGCCTAAGGCATGTAGCTTTAGTGCCCCACTGTCCGACCGACATGCAGCGCGAGGCCTGGCTCCACCAAAGGCCGAATGACCTCTCGGCCCCTTCACTCCGTGCGGTCTCCAGCGCCAGCTGCGTCGTGCTGGAGCGGGTGCCCCCCACATCGAGCGCTGTGCACCGCTGCGAAGAGCGCAGGCGGAGGAGCAGCCGCGCCAGGCCCGTCAGCGCCTTCACGAAATGGTCCTGGGAACGCGTGCCCTCCAGCCCCTTGGGGCGCTGGGAAGCTCAGGGCTGATGGGTCCAAGCCTGGTCGCCTTGCGCTCTCCGGGCGTGTGGAGAAGGGCGACGGCGATGCGGCATCAGGCCGCGGTGGCTGAACGCCCAGCATGCGCTCCATCATCTCGCGCGTCGCCCTCGAGTCCTCCGCTGTGGGCGAGAGAGTGGTGTTGATAGATGCTATCTCACGACAGTGTCGGTCAACCGTAGCCTGCACAGTAGCCAAACCAGCCTGCATCTGCTGGATCACGGGGTCGCCCTCTAGATTAGAGGGTTGGGCGGTGGATGGTGATGTCCTCGTGTACGACGCGGACGTATAAGGAGATGCTGAGCCGACTGGCCTGTGCAGGCGGTCTGCCGTCTGCTGTAGCCTCGAGTCCCCTGGAGCCGTTCGTCTGAAGGACCCCCGTAAGCGCCCGAACGAGATCCCGCGCGGGTGCCTGGTGCTCCGAGGCCACGGCGCCATCCCGCGTGTGATGGGACGCACAGAGACATACCAATACTCTATGTCCTCCTTGGAGACGCGCGTCCGACCCGAACATCTAGTACACCCATCTTGTAGTATATCGTTTCCCTAGCGGTGTGGCCAGAAAGCGCCCGCCACGTCGCACATTCTATAAGATTTCTCGGTGCGCGCGTCGCCCCGGGGGGGCGACGCACACATAGTAGTAGTAGTAGTAGTAGTAGTAGTAGTAGTAGTAGTAGTAGTAGTAGTAGTAGTAGTAGTAGTAGTAGTAGTAGTAGTAGTAGTAGTAGTAGTAGTAGTAGTAGTAGTAGTAGTAGTAGTAGTAGTAGTAGTAGTAGTAGTAGTAGTAGTAGTAGTAGTAGTAGTAGTAGTAGTAGTAGTAGTAGTAGTAGTAGAGACGCCGATGTGAGACGCCACCGATGGGCCCGCGACCATCGGCGGTGGGGGCTGGCCCTTGGCAGTCGGTAGGGGCTGCTGCTGGGCCCGGGCGAGGGCACCCCCCGCGCGCGCGAGAGCTCCCCGAGGGCCGCCACAAGGGTCGAGCACAGAGGCCATCTGGCCGAGCATGCCCGCGAAGCCCTGGTTCCCACCAAGAGCCGCAGCCCCCGCTGCCAGAGCCGCCGCCGCCGCTGCTGCAGCCCCCCGTTGGCGGTTCTGCGGGGAGGCGCAGCGCGGGGCGCATGGGGCCGCTGCCAGCAGAGGGCTGACCCCTGCCACCTCCGGGCGGTTCTGCGGGGAGGCGCAGCGCGGGGCGCATGGGGCCGCTGCCAGCAGAGGGCTGACCCCTGCCACCTCCGTGCAGGCCTGGGGCACGGCCGCAGGTGCAGGCGGGCGTGGATCGAGAAAGCCTCGAGAGAAAACGGCGGCAAGCACACCCGGTGGGGTTCGCAGGGATCGGCACGCAAGAGGCACCAGTCGGATCGCAGACCGACTGGTCACCATGCGATTTGAGGGTGGAACTATGCTATGCCAAATACGTCGGACATGCCTACCAGGATATAGCCCGCCCGGTGTGAGATGCATCCAAGGCGCCGGCAGAAACCAAGACCGGCGAGCGAAGATCGCATGCCCTGAGGCTTCGCCAACTTTGGAGCCGCCCTCGCAAGTCAGCCCGGTGCTGTTGGAGTTGCCAGGGGGCCACATGCAAAGCCTAAACCCCACCCACCACGATTTCTGAGGGGGAGGGTGGAGTTCGCTTCGCTGGGGAGCTCCCGAACGAAGAGAACCCCACCCTCCCCCTCAGAAATGAAATCGTAGGGGGTGTGTGGGGGTAGGGTTCGCATGTGGCCTCCTCCTCCTCCTCCTTCTCCTCCTCCTCCTTCTTCTCCTCCTTTTCTCCTCCTCCTCCTCCTCCTTTTCTCCTCCTTGTATCCTCCTTTTCTCATCCTTTTCTCCTCCTCCTCCTCCTCCTCCTCCTCCTCCTCCTCCTCCTCCTCCTCCTCCTCCTCCTTCCTCCTCTCCTCCTCCTCCCTCCTCCTCCTCCTCCTCCTCTCCTCCTCCTCCTTCCTCCTCCTCCCTCCTCCTCCTCCTCCTGTCTTCTCCTCCTCCTCCTCCTCCTCCTCCTCCTCCTCCTCCTCCTCCTGCCCTCCTCCTCCTCCTCATCCTCCCCCTCCTCATCCTCACGCGCTCAGAATCAGCCGAGGCCACTCGTGGTAAGGGAAACGAGTCGGAGGCAAGTCCTTCCCCTTCGTCCGCGTAGCCGCTGCAGGCGCAGACGGATAAGACCGATGCTCGCGGCGCTAACGCGAGAGGCACCTTCTGAAAACGGCCCGCCCTCCATCCGTGTGAAGAGAAAAGCGAAGGCAACGACTGTGCGCTCCGCTGCAGAGGAAACCGCTGCGTGCCCGGCAGCCTCAAACTGCGGGGTCACGAGCCGTGGGGAAGCTTCGGGCCAGACGCCAAGCCCGCCTTGCCTGTGAGGAGAGCGAGGAAAGCGTTGGGACAGCGGGGCTGCACCCGCCCCACGCCACCCTCTCGGGTCGGACGAAGGAGGGGATAGCGAAGGGAGGGGAGAGGAGGAGGAGGAGGAGGAGGACGACGAGGAGGACGAGGAGGACGAGGAGGAGGAGGAGGAGGAAGGAGGAGGAGACGCAGCTGGCTTCCGGCGCGCTCGGCGCATCCAGGAAAGCGCCCAGCGGGGGGCCCGACCAGCTGCACGCAGCTGTTCCTCCCTCCGCCTCCCTCCCCTTCCCCTCCTCCTCCTCCTCCTCCTCCTCCTCCTCCTCCTCCTCCTCCGCCTCCTCCTCCTCCGCCTCCTCCTCCTCCTCCTTCCCCCTCCTCATCCTTCCCCCTCCGCCCCCATGTCGTACCCGCCGCCCCGTTCCCAATCCACTCCCAATCGTCCGCACTCCCCGGGAGGCGGCCAGGGGGCCTGAGCTGTGTGGACCCCGAGCGACGCGGTCACTGCGAGGGGCGGACGGAGGCGAGTCCGCTCCAAAGCCGGTCCCTGGAGCCCTCCCGAAGACCAGCTGGTGCAGTTATTCATCTCGGATCCGTGTTTGACGGTCCCCGTGGACTTAGGTCGGGCCTGTCCCCCTACAGGAGGATTTTGGACGAAAGATTAAAAATACCCCAAACACGCCCAAAGGATTCCAAAAAATTATCAAAAAAGTCCCCGCACTATTTTTGCCTACTGTTGAATATCCCACCCTGTAGAGGGACAGACCCGACTTGACCGTGGACCGAACACGGCCCCCAGAGACCGGAGAAGGCAAAAACAATAAGCACGAAAAAAACAACAGATGATGATGTAGATATACCCTACCTGTATGATATGTCTTAGAACTAGACTGAAGAGAGATCGAGCCCGGCACCTCCAACCTCGCCCCCCCTTCCTGCTCGCCGGAACCGGTGCTGGGCCGCCTCAGGCCCCCAGCCGGCTCCAAAACGCCCCGCGGCCCTCCCCGTCGCCCAGGCCGCCCGCATCCCTCCCCTGCCCTCCCCGCTCCCTCCGCGAGCCTCGATCCACCGATCCCTCTTCGGCGGCGAGCCCCGCTCCCTCCGCGAGCCTCGTTCCACCGATCCCTCTTCGGCGGCGAGCGAGGGGGGGAAGCGAGAAGGGGCGGGCCTTGTCAGGAGGCTCGGAAGTCCACCGGCCTTCTGAGAAGTTTCCTGAGCCTTCCCCGAAGACACGAACACCTTCTCGGAAGGCGCGAGGGCTTCTGGGAAGTCCCGCCGCCTTCTGAGAAGGCCTTCTCCTTCTCATTTCCCCCCCTCGCTCGCCGCCGACGTATCCCCACTTGCGTGGACTGGGCCCCGCTGGCCGACTTTACCCCCCCCAGATGGTGATGTGGGCTGTTCCCCTCGAGTTTTCAGAGACCTCTCCCCAACTGGGGGGTGGGTCAATGGGGCACGGCCCGGTGGGGATGGGAATAGGTTGAACGATACTGACTCCGGGCCACGCCTCGCTCAGGGGCGTCCAGCATTCCGACCGCGAGGAGGCCCAGCTGTCCGCAGCGTCAGCCAGCGCCGCCTGTCGGGCGGCCCAGGTACAGTCTCAGAGCTCTGCCATAAGGCAGCCTGCGCACGGCCGCTTCGTGTCGCGACGACCTGGCGCTGGTTCTTGACAACGTGGGGCTCGTCCAACCTTGAACGGTCGGCGGCGCATGGATCGCCAAATCGTGCTATATTGGCCAGTTCGGGGCCACCGGCTAGAGGCCTCCTAGATGGGGTCCGAGTACATGGGGTCGGAGGATCGCGCCGTATCATTGATACAATGGCGATGCACCTCGTCGATGTCGGCGATGCATCGGCGACGTCGGCGTGGAGAAAATCGGGCTCCGCATCGAGCCGCATCGTCGATGCATCGCCGATGCGGCGCGATCCTCGGACATCATCTACTCCGACCCCATCTGGGAGGCCTAGACCGGCGGCGTTCAATCTTGAACGCCCGTGCCGGGGACGGCGCCGCGTCGGCACGACACGAACCTGCCGCGGGGGACACGGAGCCCTCTCTCGGGCCCCCTCCGTGGCGCCTGGACACCCGCGGGGCGCGCCGAGGAGGAGCGAAGCCACGGAGGGGCCCGGGAAACGCCGCACACTGTTCCCGAAACCATGACGGATGCGCTTGTGCGTGGGCGCGCGTGAGGAAGTACAACGGGGGCCCGACCACAAGAATTATCCCACAAGAAGCCCAACCCCGAGACCCCAGGACGTCCACTGACTTGGGAACGCCACGCTGCCCATCGCAAGACCATCGGAATCAAAGACAGGAGGAGGAGGGGGAGGAGGAGGAGGGGGAGGAGGAGGAGGAAGAGGAGGAGGAGGAGGAGGAGGAGGAGGGGGAGGAGGAGGAGGAGGAGGAGGAGGAGGAGGAGGACGGAATCCCAAGCTGCAGACGTCATGCTTTTGTTCACAACGTCGACCCCAGGACTCTACACCCATTCCCCGGGACCAGCTGCTCACCTGCGTGTTTTTGCTGGCGGTCCTGGAGCCCAGCGAGGGCCCCCCAAACGTTCGTGCTTGTTCCACGCCGCGAGGGGGTCTGGGGTCGGGGAGATCAGACTGGCGGAGGCAGGAGATCCCAGAGTCGGTTCGGTAAGTCGGATCGGCGATCGTATGAATCAGGTCGGCGGAGATCGGCAGCCAAGTCGGGAAAAGTCCAATCGGCGGGCATTGCCAGGCTGGTGATGCCTCCGCTGTGACACCGACGCCCACCTCGGATTCCCAGGCCGAACCGAGTCGGAGTCGGAATGAGAATCCATCGAAGTCGAATCGAAACGAGTCGGAGGTGTCGAAGTGAGGGCGCACGAGTGCACGCGCCGGTCCCAAGTCCACCCGGCGGCCGCGGGCGGAAGGGGACAAAAAGAGAGCTGCAGAGTGCAACAAGCCCAGGCAGAGCGGCCGCCTAAGGAGACGAAGGAAGGCCGAGAGAAGTGGCGAGGTGCTCTTAGCGCCCAGGCGGAGCCTCCACGGCCAGGAGCAGCGGCTCCAGCCCGTCGCGGCCAAGGCGGCCCCCACCCGCCGCGTCCCTCAGCAGGGCCAGGGCCGACCTCTCGAGGAGCGCGATCGGGCCGCCGCCGACGCCGCCTCCACCTCCTCCTCCTCCTCCTCCTCCTCCGCCTCCTCCTCCTCAGAGCTTGAATCTAGTAGCAGTGATGCCTCCTCCTCCTCCTCCTCCTCCTCCTCCTCCGCCTCCTCCTCCTCCGCCTCCTGCTCCGTCGCCTCCGTAGCCAGTTTGGCTAAAGTAACATCTCGGCCCAAGCTTGATTTTTGGCTCCAACTGATCTGCTGCCGAGGCGCCGATTGCCGCGTACCCGTACCGTCAGGGGTATGATTCGCTGAAGGCGCACTGACTCTGAACCGCACTTGAGGGGGAGCGAGAAGCCGCGTAAGTGCAATCGGTTCTCAGTTCGGTGGGCGCCGCTGCTTGGCCATCATCTGCTACTGTTCGGGCATCTCCCAAAACTGCAAAAAGGGAGGGTATTCATTTTATTCTGAAGTACGAAAGGCCGTTTCGAATGGACTGTCTTTCAGGCTCAGCGGGACGGAGGCTCGCATCATATGGTGGACAGGGGCGAGAAAGGCGCGCGTGGTCATCTACGAGCGCCCCGCCATGCTGTTCACGGCGGCGGTCTGCGTTGATGCAACATCAGCTACTGTCCGGGAATCTCCCAGAAGCCGCCAGGGGATTGTATTGTTTTGGCATCTTGTAATGAAATGGCACAGTTTTTCCACCGGGGGGCTATGGAGGGACAACCACCGGTTGTTTGGTCACTAGCTGTTCGTTTATCAATTGTTGCTCGTTCTGCTGGTGGTATACATTATCAAACAATAAATCCTTCAAGCCGCGGCAAGAGACCGCGGGGCGCAGTCTGGTAGCACAAGTTGGTATGCAAATGTGTTGACCAATGCGCTTTCACTTTTGGCATTCGCCCTCTGGGAGTATTGAGTTGCTGATTGTGGGCCGCGCACCGTGGGCGTATCCCAGGTTCTAACGCACGCTGTCGGCAACCTCATTGAGCCACTGCCTCGGCGGAGGCCTGGGCGTAGAGCAACACATCTCCTACCTGTCGTCCTAACACCAGCATGCGTTCGAAGACACGCCAGAGGCTAAGCACCAGAAGTTGCTCCTCTGAGGCCACGGCAGTCGGAGAGACGTAGCAATGTTGCGGCTTCTCTTTGAATGGAGATACCTGTGCATTCCTGTTCCGTTGCCTCCCCCTCCTCCTCCGCTTCCTCCGCCTCCTCCACCTACTACTACTACTACTACTACTACTACTACTACTACTACTACT